ACCTACAAGCGATGGCCTCCAACCTACAAGCGATGGCCTCCAACCTATATATATACATTATATAACACATAGAGATATAGAGTCACCATGCTTTATGAACAAGTAAAGGGACACATTCCACCAACAATTTTATTGTACTAATTGTAGACTAAACATTTTTGCACTTGCCGCTACTGGTTGGGGGTCAGTAGACGATCTATCAATACTATGACGGACTTGCACGACTAGCCATGTACGTGGTCTTGGCGCGACTAGCTTGGAACCAGTGGAATGAATCTCCAGTCGTACATTCCCTCCATTCTTCCCACTCCAATCACCCCGGTTTGGCGAAATTCACCGCCAGGGCCAGGGTCAGTGGGATCGGCACGAAGCTCGAGGAGCAATCTCTCTGGAAGGAGCCGGCAGCCAAGACCAGCGCCGGGAGGGGCGCTGAAAATGGTCGCGGAGGACCTGGGAGATGGGAGAAATCTCCCTTTTCCGCTGGATTCGAATGACCGGAGATGACCGGAGATGACCAGAGACTCCCAGCAGTACTTTGAAGGCCTTGGATCCTTGCTCATTGAAGTCTACTTGATCCAGGCGTTTTGGGATGAGTAAGTTTCAAAGAGAAACACCCCAACGCCAACCGGATTCGGCTCTGAATGGATCAGGAGCGTGGGCTCCGGGCGCTATACCCCTACGCCCGCAGAGGTGCGCCCCCGCGCGGTCTATTCGGACCGCTCCGACGTGCGGTCCGATGCCGTTCGGATGGGAAGGTCCAAGATCCCTCTGCTGAGGTGTTCACGGTAGGCTGAGGTCTTGGTTTTTTTAGCTCGGTGGAGAGATGATGGTGAGTCATTTTCGGATCCGCTCATCCAACCTCTTCCTATCTTCTGCTTGCTCATTTGAGTATGTGGGTATGCTATGGTACACTGCGGTAGTATCGAGCCTTGTACTGGTCCCAACAAGAATGCAGGAATATGGTGAAGTGGATTTCGAGCCGACACACGTGTCTTGAGCTTTCATCTCCCTCTCTAAACTGCATGCCAACTTTCTGATCCCTACAAAAGATCTTTGACTATTGAGTCTAGTTAGTTTGCAGATTCTGAGCTGGTCTTTCTGACCCAACCTCTTCATCCAAATCGGACAAACCAAGCGGATCGCCCTCTCACCCTGTCCTTCACGGCGCTGGTTTGACCCGGCCACGCTGGGAGGCCTTCGTTTGTGGCGCCGGGCCTTACCCGGACCTCAGTGCCAGGAGGGTCTGTCTTCCCGGTGTGTTCGCGGGTGTATCGGGCAGTGCTGGAAAAAGCAACTCGGTTATCTTGTTGGGTGATTCCTTGAGCCACTAGTGGTTTTGTGGATCGATTTTATCTTCTACGCTTTGTCAGGTTGGATTCTGATCAATGCATCTATCGGATAGCTGTGGGTTTGTCCAACACCTCACCAAAGGGAAGTCAAAGGTCGAGTGGTTGGTGGATCTCCTCATGCTTGAGACCCGCGCATTTTCAGTATGACAGCCAAACAGCTTGCTTTTCGTTCTTGGTGCTCCAGCACCTTGCTCTGTTTGGCACGGGATCCACCAAACACTGCACTTGGCCTTCAGCCAATCCAGCAGAATTGATGCTGCTTCGACCATTTTGTTAATCTTATGCCTGTGCATGCGGGACGGTGGAGAGACCCACAGTCAGATGTCTTGTTCTGTTTGGCGGCTCCATTTGGCCAAGTTGGAAGGTAAGCCTTGCTTTGGAAATAACAAACCCATCCACACGTTTTTTTCTTTGCTTGATGTCTGGCCTCAAACAAAAGCCCGACCTCCAACAGGACATGTTGGACCATTTCCATGGACACATCTAATCCTCTCAAGCACGGTGGCTCGGTTCTAACTTCATGTCGGCGCCGGCCCCGACACGAGCGTGTCAGGCCCAGAGCCTTCGGTGTTGCGCCCTTTCACACCCACCGACACCTCGAATTGCCGCGCTTCGCGTCTCGAGACGGCGAGACGGGCGCGCACTGTCGCACCGCGCGGTGGTGCGACAGGACGTCCAACTTTTACAGCCCGGAGCATTCCGTGCGCTCATCGGAATTTGGATCACTCTACGACTCGAGTTCCGCGGTGGACCCAGCAGAGAGACGGTGGCCGGCTTTGCCAGACTGTTTGCCCTCAAATGGTCATGTTGGTTGGCTTCAAAAAGCAAGAGACCAAGGGACCGCAGAGTTAGTATGGCTGATGTGAAACACAGACGCACAGAATCACATAGACTAGGCAGCGTTTCAGCGGGTGCACTAGGGTTGAGTCGGGTTGAGTGATAGCCTGTGTCTGCACCTCATGGTGACGGTGCTTTGACGATATTCTTTGAGCCAACCCCGCGGGGCTCCGGCATCCTTGTGGCTGGGCAGGCACGGGTAGGTGCGGAGGACCCTCCATGGACTCCGTTTTGCTACTTCAGGGGCTTGTTGTTTTTGCTTCGTTTTGCTCTGCCAGATAGTGCAATCACCGAGTGTTTACCATGGACGATACTTGTTTGATCTCGTTTGTATGATATGCGATGACTGGAAGTTCCACCGGTCCATCTCTCTCTCTCTCTATATATATATATATACATAGATCCGTGTGGATCTCAATGGCCCGAGCCACGTGTCCGCTTTGGGGACCATCGACCATGGAAGGACAGTAGATCCATCATCCATGGTGGATATCGACAGCGCAGGATGAATCTCTTTTAACTTAAAATGTTCACGTGCAGAAATCTGAATCCGTTCTTACAAAACATCTCAAGAGAGCCAGCAACCCTAAAAGCATCTAAAACTAAAGCGAACGCTGTTGTACGCGACGCTTAGGAGCTCTGACCATCGCGAGCGATACCCGCACGCTTAGTGCCGGACGGACATCTAAAGGCATTTAGATGCAGGAGCCTGACAAGGTGAGCACAAAGAGTTAGATTTGTGCTTCGTCCCGGCTTTGCATCCTTACATCAAAGGTGCCTGCGCAGACTGTGCTAAAATGAAATAGATGTCTGAGATTACTACAATTCCCCTAAGCCCTAAGGGTTTGGACCGTAACCAGGCTGTAAAGTTTCAATTTCACTGTTTACTGGCAAAAGTCACTTTTCCAAAGTGTTTTTCTTTATCAATAACTTGCACCGACCATGCTTACTAGCAAAAGTGACTTTCCCAAAGTGACTTTCTTTATTGAAATTTGCCGCGGCCATGTTTGCTAGCAAAAATCGGGCCGGGCCTTGGCACTGCCGGAGGGAGCCAGAGTAGGTGCTGGAAACTCGGGCAACAAGGGAGAGCGTGGATGGAGGCAGTTTTTGGAAACAGTCCAAGATGGATAAACACATCATCAACATATATGTTGATGGTTGTGAGGTCGTTTTCAAATGCCCGTGGTGCGAGATATGCTGCCCAAGTGGACTTGCACTATTAGCACTTTGTTGTTATTTTTGCTGGCTCTTCTTGTCTTCTTGTCTTCCTTTCACTTTGAAAATGCGGGGTGAACTGTTCCATCCTTTGAAGTGTGGCTCGCCCATCTCGCCCCCCGGCTTTAGGTGGGTTCAGCGCGCCTCGCGGAGCTGGGCAACTATGAAGGTCCGGGAGGAGCAGTTTGAGAGAAGATCGTGTTGCTGTTCTTTGGGGGGGCGGGGTTTCTTTGTTCCCTTCTTGGTGTAAGATCTAAATTCCAACGGATAGCAGTGAATTAATATGAGGTGAACATCAACGCCTCTTTTGGTTAATCAGCCGTTTTTTCCATCGCGGTGTGTTTGCGTCCAGGTTTGACCTTCAGCCAGCCGCTGGAGAAGCGCGAGGCCGGGAGCGCCGTCATCGCGCCGTCATCATTGGGGAAAAGGGTTTCACAGAAGTTTGAGGTTTTGCCACAGCTATGATTGGGGTTGCTAAGTCTGGGACTGGAGGACCCTGTCACTTTGATGTGGTGCTCAGAAAGGTGTGAAGCTTAACGCGTTGGTTTGGTGGATATCCATGAAAAAATGGCTTAATTCAATTCAGTTTAATTCAAACTTTACAGTTTATCTTACATAACCCAATTCAAATTTTGTTTCTTCGCTCTTCCGATTTGGCCACGCCGCCAGACCATTTGCCAAATTTGCTCGACCCCCCGGACCCACCAACGGCCAAACCGCGCGCTGCCGCGTTCGCAGGGCCTTGGGCGGAAGCAGAAGGCGGTGATGGCCGCGGCCTTCGATGCGCTTCTTGGTGGAACTTGGGTAGTCCCTGATGGCTGCTGACAGCATCTGACAGCATCCTCTTGCTTGGTGTTGTTTTCTCTTATTTCATTTGAAGGGCGTGGTTTTGGTTTCAATTTTTGGTTGGATTTTCCTCATCGAGTTTAGACTCATGCTGTCTTTTTCTTTCAAATTCAGCAGTCTTGTGCTTTTGATTCCTTCTGGCCAGTGAGATTTGCAGACAATGAATGACCCCTTTGAGGTTCATTCCTGAATTCCCCATGTTGCAGTTTTTTGGGTGGCTTCACTCTCTAACTCACTACCTGCAATTCTTACACTTCTGCCAGTTGCCTTTGTTGCTTGTGTTTGTGTCTGGAACCTGACCTGGATCAGTTGTGTTTTGTTCTATTTTTTGTATTGATAATGTCTTCGTCGGAAGAACGCTCTTTGAAGTGGCAGGGGCTAGCGTGCGGAGCCTGATGGTTATGCTTATGCTGGTGGCGGATCGTTGGAGAAGACTTCGAAGCTCTGAGCCCACGCCTGGCCCAGCCCTTTGTGGCTGGCATGGGATCTGGGAAAGATGAAGAACTTCAAGCGTGGCAAGAATGGACAACCACTTGGATTGATCTCCTCGCGCCTTATTTTGAATTTGCCCCTGCATTCACTGCGCTTGGTTTCCTGGCAAGTGCTTCATTGGATCGTGTGTTGCGCCAAAAACCAGCACCTACACTCCGTCGCCATTTGCCTGGATGGCGGCTCTGGTATTGGCCCATGTATGATCCCCCGCTGCTGGATTTAGTTGCCTTCACTCGAGCTTCAGGCAAGACCGCTGCTGGAGGAAAAGGCGCGCTGAGTGCATTAAAATTTGCGGCTGGTCTTACGGGCAGGAAAGACTGGTTGGAATCATTGTCCAGCCCAGTTGTCTCAGCTTGGTGCAAGCCGTTGATGGGGCGGCAAGCCCGTAGAGAAGCGCTCCCGCTTCCCCTGAGGCCAAAGTGTTAGCTGACCTAGGGACGGAGTTGACTCAGCAGACCCTGTCTTTGGTGGCATTTTTGTTCATGATTTGGGGGGCTTCGCGCTTCAGTGACTTGCGGCGTATATCTGCTGCTGTTTTACAGGTCGAGGTCGGTGTGGCGGGGTACTTGCTGGCGCGCCAAGAGCTCGTGCAACGGCATGCCCTTTGGATTACTGGGCGGGGTGCGAGTGGGCCCTCGCTGATTGCACATTTGCTCCTGACATGTCTTTCTAATCGACCTCGCAAGCTCCCATCCGATGGGATTTCCTGGAAAACAGAGCAACCAACACAAAGCAACAAAAGCACCCACCAAACAACAACAAACAACAGGAACTCCTGCAACTCTCACGATGGGAATTGAACGCCATCCATTGCAATATAAGAAGTTCAATGTGAGACAAAGGTGAAACTAATGCCCGGGCACGGGTGAATTGCTACGAAAAGCTTGCTGTCAACGAACTCTTGCACAAAGCGCATGCTCTGTCGAGGCAGACGATACAACTGGAATTGCATCATCTGTAGCATTCTGGACAGCGCTAGCATGTGTCAAGTTGAAAATGCCAGCCCATGCAATCAGTGGAAAGATTGTCCAACAACTGCAGTCGTGCATACAGAATGCACTAATTGATTGGGGCCTTGCCGCCCGGCGCCTGCAGACGGCTATGGGGCCAACTTGGTTTGCTACGTCGATTGTTGATCGAGGTGGGGGGGCATTGAGCCTTCGCAGGCCAATGGCTACACTTTGCGCAGCCTAAAGGCCACTGCTTTGACCTGGGCTCTGCAGCTAGAAATCAACAAGGATCAGCGGCGCCTATGGGGCCACCGGCCTTGCGTCCGGTGCGCGAGGTAGCTCCGGCGCAGCGAGGAGGCCTTGGTTGCCGACTTCACAGACAGACTGTGACTCCGCTCAATCCTCAGATGACAGTTCCTGTCCTTCTTCCTCTGGAAGTGAAGATGAGGCGGTCGGTGCGTGTGAGGAGAGGGTGCAGAGTTCAAAGGTTGTACCGGGTGTGTATGTCGTCAACACCACAACCTCCTATTGCCATGCTGCCGTCCTTAGAAGATGGCAAGTTTGGCAGGGCTAGGCCGCCAGGTGTGGCCTGTGCCCATGCGGCCTGCGTGGCCCATTTGTGAGCCCTAGTCCACCCGCACGGCTTTGGGACTAGTAGAGCGGCTGGACAACAGTGGTGTTTTGGGGTGCAGGGGCTGTTGTCCTGCCTTTGGACTGGCCTGGGGATGGCCATTTCAATCCATTGGAAAAGAAGCGCGCTGCGTGCGCTTGCGACATTGGTTGCATTTCATACTTGCTGCTAGGTAGCTGAGTTTGTAGAGGGAAGGGACAGCCGAAATCATATCTTAGATAATTTTTTGAGTCCAGTGCATTTTTAGTATGTCCTGCTTCTTGTACTGTCTACTGGGTAGTTCGCGCCAAGTCAAAGAACAAAGCTGCCACACTCTGAGGTCCGATTTCTGAGATTTTTGAAGGGAAGGTCCGATTTCTGAGGTGGTTTTGCCTTCTGCGTTTGGTGGAAAGTTTTTGGAAGTTCAGGGCCTTGGCACTTCGCTTAAACTCAAGGACTCGGTCTTTTCTCATGCCGAAGATCTTGAGACATCAGGTGGAAAACACGCGTGCTTCCCTAAATAGACCACACCCTGTACGTTGTCTTATTCTTTCGGCAGTTTTGGATGAGGTATGTGCAAACACAGCCGAAGCCGCCGCCACCGCCACCATTGCCACCAGGCCATGGAGGAACCATGAGGAACCCGTGACAGTGAACCCCTCAACTTCCCTCTTTGTTGGTCGATTTTCCCTTGGGGCTACAAGAGAAATTTTAGATTAAACAAACATGAAACAAACCCTTGTTGTTCTTTGGGACCGCCTCAGCACCTCATGTTGTGATTCTTCGCACCCTCTTTGGGGCTGTCGAGAGAACGGGAAGGACGCCTTTTCTGGAAATGTCGAGAATGCGACCCACTGCTAGGAGGATCCTACGCCCTAGGCACTTGTCTTCCCGATCTGGCAGATTTCCTCAATGTTGACGACTTCTTCACGATTTTCCTGAAAACAGTATGCGCAGGGGCTACAGCGCACCAGGCCGACAAACACCTACTCTCAGAGAAAAATCTACCTTGGGTTTCCTCAAAAAACCTCTATATAGACAAAAGAAAACACAATATTCAACTTTTGGTAAAACTTCCTTTGTGTATCATCACCTCGCGCTGTTCTGATCGTCCAGGCCCAGCAGAGGAGGAAGAAGCTTCACTAGATCCGCGGCAAGTCGCGAACTAAGCTCAAAAGGTGTGGTTCGCCGCGAGATTCTGGCAGTCCATGTGAGCTATGACCAAAACCCCCAAATGGAATTTGCCTCTTTTCATGCCACTTGCTCAGAGTCGCACCACCTGTGCTCGGCTCGGTTCACGGACGAGGTTTTGGGGGATTTACAAGCATCCGCTCCAGCTGCACGCTGGAAACGGCAAGGGACAGTTACTTCAGGAAAAGGTCTACAAGAGTAAGCTGTTCTGAAACACTGAGCTGTGCCAGTTACTCGAGCTGTTCCAAAGGACACTCACTGTCACGCAGAGTCACTCGTATAGTCTTTTTCCGGTTCTGTGAGGTCTACAGCGCCGCGCGGCATGGAAGGTGGGAGCTGTTGGTCTGGTGGTATCAAAAAGCTGCGCCTGGTTGGTGCATGGCTTCAAATGGGATAGTCATCCACTTTCAAGGGAAAGCCGCAGGGGCGAAGGGCTCCCGCACATGCTGGGAGTTTTGAAGGGCACCAACTCCCTGGCTGCTCGTTTGGTGAACCTCGTGCCCTTTTGCAGAACACGACCTTTGACATGCTGCAAACTGCCAGGCATAAGGAGGTGGAAGCCGCCCTTGAAGCTGGCTTCAACCCGGACTACACCGACTCCTTTGGTTCCCTGGCGTTGTCGGATGAGGAGACCAGGGTCTTTTGGGGTTACCAATTTTGGTGTAGTTTGTGTAGATTTCCTCAAAGGGATGGGCCTTGGGGTAGAGCTGAGCCCAGGGCAATTGCCTGTCGGACCGACAGACCGCCGACGGGACAAATCAGCCGCCCCACCGACAGGACCTGCTGCGACCGACGTTGCCCAACTTGCAAGGGAAAGCAGATACCAATGTAAACAAAAGATTTACCATGATTTACCCGATCGAAAGAAACACTGTAGCCAAGGCAACTCGAGCCTTTTTCTTGCGAACAATATTTCAACCGTTTTTACTGTACTCGGTACTGTGATGGAACAATGCCGGCCTGTGGGAAATGACCAAGAGTAGGACATCACTGGAAAGACACCACTATGGCTGTTGCAGGCTTGTCTGAATGCATGTGCCGGTGCTTTTCCCATCTTAATCTCAATGGTGGTGACGCGGGAGGATATATATATATATAGAGTATATACACTGTATACCAAAAAATGGGAAGCCAAGATTCCTTCGTCCACGCTTGATCTATTTGGAGCAGTTTTCCAGCGTGGCAGTCTTGCCGCCCCCATCTCCCGTCGAAAACTGAAACTCCCGGCGATCGCTGAGGAAATTCGCTCTTCCACGTGGCGTGCCAGAACGGCAACAAGCGCATCGCCAAGCTCGTGGGGACACTTGGAACCGCCGGTGAGCTCGTTCGCTCGGAGCCGGGTGGATTCGCGCGGCTCCCGAAACAGGTGACACATGCATGTGAATGGACACCAGGTGATCAAACCTCAGACATTTCAGCATTCCATGGCGGTCCCAAACGCGTCCAAAAAATAGAAAACCAGCAGCCGGTCGCGATTGGTCGGATGCGAATCCACTGGGTGAGACACGCCACATGCAACACCAAAAAGGGAACAGACCAGGTGACCAGATGAGGTGCTTAGACCAAGTGATTCCACTTGCTGCCGCTTGTCTAAGCCCAAGTGATGCCAAGATCTGAAAGCCTTTGACGTGGGATCTGAAAGCACTCCACGACTTCCACACGGTCTCTCCATCTCCTTTTTTGGACTCCCGACGCGGATCCACACCCAACGGTGAAACCGGGTCAGCCTCGTCGAATCTCCTCGTGATATCTCATGGGAGGCCATTAAGTATGGCGGCGACATGGATGGGCAAAACCTCAAAGGCCGGGGGGTGTCGACGTGAGGTGGAGGCACATCCGGCAAAGAGACCATGGGCTCGAAAGGAAGACCAAGCGGTTTTCCTTTCAAAACAACCGGTTTTCCACTTCCATGTCGATGTGCTCGTGGGAGGCACCCCATGGCGCCCCACCGAACACATCGGCGCCGACTGGTGGATGGTGATGTAGATGCGTGTACGCTGGACGTTCGTTCGTGGCGAAGAAGCACCCGAAGTGATGCAGATGCGTGCTGGCACAGGGCATGTGGGTCGATCACAATGTATAGACTCTTGGTTAATAACCTTCCCCATTTGGATGCACGGACTTGCGAGTCTGTATCGCTTCTACGCCACCCCTTGCTGTTGTAGCGGGTGTGGGTAGAGTACCGTGAAACACTCATTGAGGGTAGGGAAAGACCCGGCTGTATGTACACGAACGAATGCGTGGCAAGGAGTGCCGAAAAGACGAAGAACGGAAGACGAAGAAAGGCTATGCACAAATACCACACGAGTGTAAATTCACGAACCATCGAGGCTCAATTAATCAACAAACTAATTATATAACGTTCGGATGCTTAAGGCTGTCGAAGTTCTTCTTTCGGAAAGGGCGTTACCGTACGTACGTTTTGACGGAATGCCTCACGCTGCTTTTCATGAACCTCCGGCCAGGAAGGCCAGGTAGGTATCGTCTGAGAAGGAGGTAGCGTGGGCATTTCAATCTCTGTATGATATGGTGGGTTATGTGGCATTGTCTGGAGCAGATCTTGAAGGAAATCATATGTCTGAGTCACATTAGGTAGAGCAGGTCGGCGCGAAATACCCCCTTCGTGGTATTGGGTAAATCCCAAGCGGATCAGGCTGGATGTTCCTTGCTTGTTATATTGGGGTATGAGGCGTGATTCGGAGAAAGTTTGGATATGTTTGAACCTCATTTGGATTGTAAAACCTCTTTACATGGAGGGGCTCAACAATCAAGAGTCTACGCCGAAGGTGGTTGGTGCTTCTGAGACCTTGTGGGAACTCCTCCCCGTGCTGTCGGACCCATCACTGCAGGAATCTCACTGTCGGTTTCATGGGTTTCATGTCAATTTGATCGTCACTTCCGCGCCACATGTTTTTTGCGATCCCATCACACCCGCGCTCTCTCGAGCTGCACATGATGGTGAGAGTTGCGAGGCAACACTGGCCTTCACTTCCTCTTCGCCTATGGCTACGCCGATCTTGGGGAGTACTTCATCTCCAAGGAAGAGAGGGGGACCATAGATGGGGATGGATGAGACAGTATCAAGACAGACACCTGAATCCTTCAGCTCCACCCCTCAACGACTCGTTCGGGAACACGGGTGACAACCTACGGCTGACGTCGAATCGGCGTGCAGACGTCAGCCGGGACGACTCCGGGATGACGATACATGTTGAAACACATGTGCTCACAATTCATTTATTGCTACCATAATTTTATCCAATAACATTTTGCTTGTTGACAATTTCTTTAAACTCACATTTGGCAGCTTCATGGGTACAGCTTTCTTTATCACATGCTAGAGTGCAGTGTTTCTGACGCTTCAAAAGAAGAATTGGTGCATGGTGATACGTACACATGGTCGAAGCCGCTTTCCTGTGAAAGATCGGACCACATCTTCATTTCGTTTGGGTCCATCATGTTTACGCATGTTTTCTTTTGTTCCTGATTTGCCCGTTTGATATTTGCCCGCTTGTTGCGGGCGAAAGCAATGGGCACATCCCCAAACAGGAAGAATAGGAGATCAAAACATGCGGTACTTTTCTGGGCCTTTCCCCGGTCTTGTCCCAGATGAAGCAGAACCCAGACATGTCTAAGCAAGATGAGCATGACGCACTTGCCAGTCCAACACATCGTTTGCTGTTTCGTGTCCTGAAACATGGATTGCTATGTTTCCACTATCGACGATGAACCAAAAACACATTAAAAACACTTGGCACCGCAGGGGGCAGACCACACCATCGCCAATGAAATGGGCAAGACTGCTCGCGAGGGTATCCGCTGAAGTGGATTTTTCGTCTCACACCGAATGCGACCGACATCGCCGGTCAACGCGGTCAAAGGGGTGTGGCCAACTGAAGAGCCGAAGCTGAGCGAAGGGCTTCGAATGGTACCAGTGCCGGGCTGAGCACTTTACATTTTCGAGATGGATGGGAACACCTTGGATTATTTGTTCACAACCCAAGCTGCTTTTCTCTTGGACCTTTGATTGGCCCCACAACTCCAAAAACAAAGACATGTTCTGAACTTTCTGTCACACCGCAAACATTTGGCTAAGAGGAAGTCAAAGCTGTCGAAGAATGGACCATGCGACCTTTTCAGTTCCCGTTGTTCAGCAGGGTCTCCATCAAAACATTTCGATATCCCGCTTTCAGCTTTCCTTAACGGAAGCACGCGGAAAGTGCAAAGCCGTTCGAAGACCACCTGTCCTTTTCACTGTTTGTTTCATGGTGAAAGCGATGTGACAGTGATTGCATCAGCTGACGGCACTTTGGATCTAGACATGCGCACTACCTATGTACTAATCTGGTTGATGGTTTTGGATATTTCTTTGCAACCCTTACTTGAGATGATTTATCTTACTTGTACTGATTCATATGTTTCGTCCGTGAGTTGAAACCACCAACCTTGAATATAACTTTGAATCAAGCACCTTGACACGACTTTGACAATCTTTTACACTTTGACTTTGACATGTTCTTTTTGACTTTGGTTTGGAACCTAAAGCGGTGTCTCCAAATCTGACCAACTCGCACTTGGTCGGGAAGATGAGATAAAGCGTGATGAAACCTCTTACTAGGGGACTCCGCCTGGTTTTTCACTTGCTCCTTTGTAGAATTGGCAGGAAAACTGCTTGGGACATGGACTGGTGGAAGATTCATGATTATTCATGATCTGAGACAGCAGCCAGCACCTGTGTTGGGAGTGGCTAAAGCTTTTGCAATTTGTGGTGTAACCATGTTTAACCGGTTGACTTTGCTGGATGCACAGTTTGGCTTGACACCCTTTTGGACGTGTCGGCAGGGCGAACTGTTCGGGAGGAGTCGGGTCCGAAAAGAAGCAGCAGCGAGTTTGGCAGCAGCGGCTGGGAGCGAGTCTCCAAGTTGTGAACGAAGTGACCAACACGGGGGCGAAAGGCCAGCTACATAATTGCTCTAGGACTTCCAGCAGCTTGCTGGTCACGAGATTGAACACCATTCGGTGTTCTTTTTTTGCACTACAGTGAACTACGTCACTGAGTGGACTCCCAAATTATTTGGCATTCTCGCTGGTATTTGGGCCTAGACGGGAGACTGCCAATGCCAATGTCTCGGTCTCCAGTTCTGATGAACATTTATACATGCATATCATGGACCAAATCTCATTGACATGGAAGTCCTATTTATTACGATGCCAAAGTTCACCGCAGCTTTTTTGTTGGTTTCGATGAAAGCTCTGGCTGCCTGTTCTGATCGTGCGCATCTTGGCTAGAAATAAGAAGACCGAGAGGAACGGCACATGAGAAATCCACATGCTCAGCCTCACTGAAGACTCGCAACAAGTGTGGGGTTGGCTAGCAAACGGCTCCCCTGAACAGGCATCTAAACCATTTTACAAGGCGTGAAGACGAGTTCCAGCTTGGAGAAGATCATCCGTCAATCGTGAATAGCTGTTGATGCCCTTTTGAGCCCCCAATCGCTGCGGAGACGCGGCAACTGACGTGGCATGGCCGCGAACAGCAGCTGGGCTTCAGGTGCGCCCGACTCTGGAGTCAGCAACTCATCAATTGATTAATCTACTTGGATGGCAGTCCTACTTAATTTCAAACCAAGTTTTCAGACGCCTCCAAAAGGTTCGATGACCTTCAATTGGACTCATCTGATATTGGGGCGCACTGGTGCACTCACATTCCATGCCCGTTAGAAGCAAATTGGACGGCTCGTCATCGGCATAGATTCACATCACTGGTATGCCCAAACCATCCCCGGTTTGGAGGCCTTGTTTCTGGGCAGTTGGGTTGTGGGACAGTGCTGAGAAAGTCCGATGCTCTGCCCCAGCGGCGGATCAACCCGAACTGTGCGTTCCCGATGAAAACCACCGAAGCCATCCACGAATCCACTCAAACCCGAGGAAGGGATGCAGACGTGGATCCTCTTTTCCCGAGGAAGTGAACCACTCCATTCCATGTAGAGGACCCTGAGGACAACCCTCATCTCCTTCAGCAGCCATCCCCTGAGCCCTCCATCGTCCTCGGCTCATCTCGCCCATCTCTCCATCCGCTGAGCCTCACGTGCTCCGCGAGGTCTGCGCAGTCACGGGCCAGAAGGTCGCCTGGTCACGGTCGTTCGGTCAGGGGTGGCGAGCGGAGAGGTCGGGCTCGCGGCTTGTTGGACCCCCTGCCACGATAGGTCTTCTCAATCGGAGCAGTTGGCTGCCCAACTCTTCCGTGGGGTTCCAGGATCGTTTTGGCCTCTCATGACATGTACGCAAACATGATAAACATAGATGATGGCAACATTCACTTTGCTTCAAATGCTTCAAATGCTGTATGGAGTAAGCAGCCTACTATACATTTGCAGTGAAGAATCTGGTTGCCGGTTGCCGTATTTTACACGTGGCAGACTCTCCCGTGGCAAACGACCAGATACTAACTGGCCGACCCCACTCAAGACGCCCGTTGTGCGTGGAACCCTCATGTGTTCAATCGTCACCGCACGGGCGGACGATCCGCTCGTCGTCCCTTTGGGAAAACCTGGAGAGGCCAAACATGCATCGCCGGCCCATCGTCACCGCACGGCGCGGACGATCCTTGTCCATCATTGCCAACAGCCACCAGCTTTCTTGCAAAGAAGAACACTTGCACTTCACAAGTTTGCAGGCTTTTCTTTAGACCCAGGCTTTGGGTTTGATGAGTGCAACCTCTTTCACTGGTTGACCCATGGGCATCTGTGTGTTGGCTCCTTTTTTCTCGTTGTTTCCTTTTCACGGCGTGGCCAACGGGCCTTGGAACGCCCGCGTCCACGTTTGGCTCAAGAGGGGATGCGGACCGAGCCGAACCGTGACGCGGGGATGCGGCCATATGCGGCCAGGTGGCCGTCGGAAGCGTGCAGCGACGGACGTGATGCCGATGCTCTGGACCTTTTCGATGCCCCTTTTTCGACCGTTGGGCAAACAGAAGAGGAGGACAAACATAAGGCTAATGACATAAAAGAACGAAGATCTATTTCTGGATGCCTGGTTCCGGGACAGCGAAACAGATCCTAACAAATGCTTTGAAGGTGGATCGCCAATCAATTTACATAAGAAGCGGTGTGTTTCCCTAGATGAGAAGCAAGCTGTTTGCCCATCAAAAAAATGAAACATTGGCCTGGATCCCTCAAACATAAGACCCAAGCATTTTCTCCTCACATGGGTGTAGGTGAAACCGCTTCAGGCGCCCTCTGCGGTTGAGCATCAGTGATCATTCAACGCCCATCGTTTTAAAAAACCACATTGGGGGGTGACCGCCACATGGGTGCAACAACTCAACAAGTGGTCGGCTTCAGCCAGCTGTCGCCAAAGGCATTGATATTGCAAGTGAAGCACAAGGTGAAACGGTGAGACTAAAAGAACAGGAAATGAGGCAAAATTGAATCAAGCCACCTTTCCAAACAGACAGAGCACATACCACTGCGAGGAGCTTGGTGGCAGACACTACCCATGAACCGAGACAACAGCAACACGTGAGCTTATGATTCCATGGCGTCTAGTCCTCAATCCACTTTTTCTTTTTTTCCGGGTGAGCAAAACATCCAGAGATTTTCCACCTGGAGGTGGGGAGAACTACCCCAAGCATCCCCAAGCATGGAGCAACCAGTCGATCCATTGACATGAAATTGTGCGAAGATGGATTCAGATCATTGAAACATGTTTCAATCCAGATTACACCAACCTCTGCCTAAACTGCCTAAATGACAGGGACTTTCAGCCAGTTTTTGTTGCATGTTTGGTGTTTCTTGTAAAACCCAACCTTCGCGTAGTCGCAATGACCATCAATTTGTACATGAAAGTACAGCCAGCCGACTACGCATGGAAGGGATCGGGTTCATGGGACAACCCGCAGATTCAAGCACCCAAGCACCGCACCGACAGGGTCCGCCAGTAGCCGCAATAGGCGCTGATGTGTGGGATTTTCGCCTACATTGGTGACAAGGAGGCCGGAGATCATTTTGGCTCTTTGGATCTGGTGGGAATGACCCGTGGCATATGATTTCTGAACTCTAGGTGTTTGAAGGGATTTTCTTTCAGATGATTTCTCAGCTGGAACATGCTCCAACCAACTCCCACAGCTCCAAAAAACCGCTGCAGCGCCGCCCAAAACCGCGGCTCCGAGGCAGCTGCCTTGCTCATCACTGCTTTGAAGCGCCTGGAGTGGCTCGGGTTCAGTCGACCGTGGACGCGCGGAGGGGGACGAAAACCGATGGATCCCCACCTCGGAAAGCCGCTCGAACGGCTTTCTGACCACTTGAGGTTGCCGGGCCCGACTTTGGAGAAATACATGATGGATTTATTCCCGTTCTTGTGTGTGTTTACGTGCGTGCCAGTAGTTCCTTTTCAAGCCAGCTTTTTGACATGGTTGTCGATCTAAAGGTCCTAGTCAGCAATGTGTATGACGATGACCCGGAACATATCAAAATCTCATTTGGCGAAAGTTTTTTCTCGAGTTGGCGAAAGTATTTTTTTTTTTGCGAAAGATCTGGCGAAAGATTAAATATATATGTACTTTTGTATGAGTATGAATTAGCTTGATTTAAAACATATGTGAGGTTTATGTTAGCTGTGCCAGCAACGTGGTGAACACCCTATATTGAACATGCGAGCGCGCAGGTGTGCAGGCTAATGCGCGGGCAAGCGCGCGGGCGAGCGCGCGGGCGAGCATGTGAGCGCGCGTGTGAGCGCGCGGGTGAGCACGCAGTGAGTGCACCGGTGATCATATCAGCGTGCGAGTGAGAGCTCTTCTGCGCAGTTTGCTTTGTGAATGAATGTTTAATTTAAGATCATGGACTGTCCGTTCTTTGCATGAGTCAATGAGAGCATGAGAATGCTGTTGGACACATTGCATTTCCAAAACCCAAAGACAATGGCAAATCCATGCAAATCCACTTGCAGCCTGATTAGCCTACAACCTACCTCTAAGATCCTCCAAGTGTTGTTCAGAGTGACACCTGCTGTGCAGTTTGCTTATGTTTGCTCGCTTTTTGTTTTTTTGTTTTGGGGGGGGGGGGCGACGTCTCAAGGTATGGGAATGAATCGGGATGCCATGAATGATAAGGACACAGACTAGACAAGGTAGCTTTATTTACAGTAGTAGAAGAGTCGTAGTTTAGTAAAAACGACTATATCATATATATCATATCATGAATATTAGATATGTACAGTTTGCCTCAACGATGCGTTTGATGTTGAGGGTTCTTCTTTTAGTGAGTAGACATATCTATAGACTAGACTATTACTATTGACTATTGACTATATATAGACTATAGACATCTATAGACTATAGACAGTCATCATATACTGTACTAATATAGACTGTGAAAAAATCCAAACACCAAAACACCGACAAAACCCTCTAGCAGCAAGCCATGCGATGGAGCTTTCCCTCCAAGCCTTGGATTCGATCGGGGCGGACTTGGATGCTCTAGAGAAGAGCAGCAGGAAAGCCAGTTTCTTGATCGATGTTACATTTTTGTGTGTACACAAGACGACAATAAAGACAAATTGTATTTTTGGATATCCTGCCTGCATAGCAAACACTGTTTGGCCTAGTCAAAGATATGTGTTGAGTTACTATGATTCGATGATGACTCGATGATTCTAGATAGTTTTTGTTGACTAGACCATGGGTTTTTGCCGCAAGGTTCGCAGACCAACAGAGAAGCTGCAGAGCCTTACCAAACAAGGCCAGGCTGCCTAAATAACACTCGTTCCCACAAATTATCAGTTAGCAGAACCAAAGTTTGCTAAATAATTGAAATGAAAGTTAGAAGGGATAATGTTGAAATGATTCCATATCATATGATTCCATATCATATCATATGAGTCTGAGTTATTTATCCTGATGTGAACCAATATATTTGGATGGATAGATGACTGATATCATAGTCTGATATGAATGGACATGATTCATATCATGTCCAGAATCATACAACTTACTAAACTGAGTTGGCTTCATTGCAGGCGGCTGGCAGTCCGTTACTTGAAGCACCACGCGGTGAGGGAGCGCGACGTGACCGACAGAACGGCAGGCAGCGGCTCTTGGAAGAAGTGGCTTCCCAACGCTATGTTGAGAGCAGCGAGCCCTGGTCAGGACTAAAGTACAGTAAATAACTCAGATGCGCAATGGTACCATTGAGAGTAAGACCACAAGGCCCGCTAATCACTAGTACCGTACTACAGCACGCCAGTAGTAAAAATAAGTACTTACTTGCTAAACTTACTATGAATTGATTGATAGAACACTAGTAGTGCTGTAAAGTATACTACTTGGAACGATGTAGGCAACTTTGTCTACTTCCTTGCAGCGAGCTTATACATTGTTTGTATAACAACTAGACTGTGACTATGACTATTGTGATGACTACGATAGACTATAACTTTAACTTTATAGCTTAAATTCTGTAACTATCTAGTCTATAACTATAATATTCTCAGTTTTTGTCCGCTCCACACAACAGACTCGAATTCAGAAGTGGTTGATGTCAAGGGGATTGATTGTTGCGGAAGAGCATAGCTGAGCGCATTGGATCTGCATTTGAATGCTCGTTGATTGTTCGATTGCTCGTCCAAGGTTTGGTCATTCAACGTTGAGTGCCACCAAAACCAATCGCCAATCAGTTTCGCCAACCATGTTCTCCGCTTCTAGCTTGGCTTACTGGATGCAGTCCAGCCACACCTTTGTTTCAAAGGTAACTTGGACTGGTCAGAAGTATGAATTGAAGGGCTTGGAGGGCTCAGTAGAATATGTTGAATTGATGTGGGCGCCTCCTCTTGCATCCTATGATTGTCTGTTCAATATCGATTCCGGTTCAAAGTTTCAACATGCTCTAAGAGCTCTAACATGCTGCATTGAGGATAGAGAGGCTTCTAAGGTGGTTCATGATATTTATATATATATATATTATATATTTTATTTATATATATACATGAGAGGTAGGCATCACTCCTTCAAGGAATGAGAGGTGGCATATATCGAGTAGGGCAAACAAGGAGATAAGATGGGATAAGTTCTCTCATGTTCTTTTACTGTTCTGAATCGACAGTCTTTTCAGGTTCAATGTCTGGTTGCCAGATGTTTCACGCACTGCCAGACATATTGGTGCAAGTCACTTCAAGCTTGCATATCCCGTGCACGCCCTACGGACACGAGTGAGCAGCCTACGATTTGCAAGCTACACCTTGAATTTGATGAGACATCGGAAATGCAACGGGTGAAACTTGGTCTGATGTCCACTAGTGCCATCTTCAGCGTGTTGGTTTCCCGGCTCTTTTCTGATACATGATGTGTATGTTGTATGCTAGTTTTTATGGTTGGATGATAGTTTGGATGATAGATGAACTTGGTTGAATCACAGGGTGTGAGCGACATTGATGATTTTGAGTTATGAAAGACATTGACATAGAGTTGATTGATTGACTGCAAACTGAAGGTTCAGCGGAATACTCTTATTGTGCGAAGTCGAGATGGTGAGTTCTCGTGGCTTTCTTTATGTTTGCTTTTTGTTGTTTGTCAGCGGTATCATTGTTTGTCCTTGAACTTCAAAAGGCCGGAGGCCGGACATGACAAGACAATTCAGGCATATGCCTCTGCTGTGCTGCCCAGCAGCCCTGCAAAAAACTACTGCTGGCGGAATCTGGGGCGGCATTGTATCAAAACAACCAGTTCACCCATTGAGCTCCTTGTTTGCAAGATGGTTTGAGACCTGAGATTGTAGTAGAGTATGTGATATGTATGTCGGCATGTGACATGTGTGACTGTGACTGTGGTCAAGACAGTATGAGCGGAGCTTGTTTTATAAAAAAAATCAATTCACGAAAGATTAATGAAACCGCATGCGACGTGAAGTAACATCAGAGTCAGGAACATATCAAGTGACCCCAACAGAATAAATAGAAGTGACATGCTTCAGGCTGGTGCCAAACAGCAGATATCTTTGTCCTAGCTTTCTGCTCAGACTGCGCGCCAGCAAACATGAAGATGGTCAGATACATATCCAGGAATTTGCCTGGCAACAGCCTTTTGACCCACCACCCTTGCAACGCGCTTCTTGGCAAAATGCTGATGGTTGAGTCCTAACCCTGAAATTAAACCATAACGACTATGAGGCTATGAGTCATGCAATCTTTGGGTTCCTTGCTCAGGCATGAGTCTCATCATTGCGTTGAAGACGTCTGGAGAGGTATGAACATCAACCCACTGTGGCTTGATTGATTGAATTCAATTTTTTTGTTTGTGGCCCGTGGCGGTAGTTCGTTGTTCAGGAGTCAGCTTGAGAGGGTCGGGGTTCCCACTGTAAGGTTTTGCACGTGCAGAGTCTTGGGATATGGATCAACATTTTATGATCTAGTTGTACACTGCGCGGAGTACATCAGAAAGAACATGAAGGTGGTCTACACACCCAGCAACCCAGAGCACATAAAGTATGCCAAGAAGATCTTGGATATGACTATGTCTGTCCGGATTGCAAAGCTGAAGTATTGTTTAGATGAGTCAGGCAACATGACCAATACAAAGAAGATGTCTTTATTGCAACAGAAGGTAGACATGTTCTTGGCCATATTCAATTCGAACTGGAAAAGCCCGTCGTCTCTATGGCATCATTGTACAATGGGTTGCCCATGTGGAGGCCTTCCGCAACATCAGCTGGCGGAACAGGCTGCCAATCTCTTTGTTGAGGTAGTGTTGGCCAGTAAGCCTGGCGTCCCTGCATTGTCAAGATGGTTGAAGTGTTCACGGACTGCCCGGTGGTTCTTGATTCTTGCCTGATTATTTGTGGGTTGAATCAATTGAGCAACAATCAAGTAAAGATAATATAATATAAAGTTAAGCTGAATGAATGATCTAGGACCATCCACAAAAGAAACACACAAAATTCCAACTCTCATCCATCACAGTTATCGGCGGCGGGGTTTCATCCAATGTTTCACTTTCACTTGCTGGTTCATACATGTACACTTGGTCGGTGCAAGGACAGGATTTGCCTGCCACTCCATTCTACCACGCTGCTATTGTGCTATGTTCAGAACAGCCAAGAAGAAGAACATTCATGGGACCAGTATGACAGACTTGGTACAATTGTTGCAGCAGGAGATTGTTGCAGCAGGAGACACTCCTTCCTCTTCAGCCGACCCTGGTGCTGCATTCATGGTTCCAG